ACTTACTATAAAAAAAAACTGGATTATGATCCGACCCAGGACTTTAACAAGCAATTAAAAGGTCTTATTAAAACACTACCAGCCCACCTACATTCAGAACTTATCAATGCGATTCCGGATAATCCAAAAATCGGGGACTTCTACATGTTGCCCAAGATCCACAAGCCAGGAAATTCAGGCAGACCCATCATAACAGGTATGAACACACTTACTGAACAAATCTCAAGCCTTGTAGAACAAATTTTTAAAACCGTTAGTCATGAATACTGCTAGTTTCCTGCAAAAACACAACTGATTTTCTAAACAAGAGTAACAACTTACAGCAATTACCACCAAATACACTTCTAGTCACTATGAATGTAGAACCTCTGTATAGCAACATCCGTCACAACAATGGATTAGCTGCCTGTCACAGATTCTTATCATCCTCATCAAATCATAAATACACCACTGAGGATGTTACACAGCTCATTGAATTCATACTTGCACACAACTATTTCGCTTTCAATAATGACATCTATCTTCAATGTATGGGTACTGCTATAGGAAGTAAAATGGCACCCCAATATGCAAATTTTATTTATGTTTGACCTGGAGGAAAAAATCCTGAACAGCATGCAACAAAAACCATACAGATACTTTCGCTATATTGATGATATTTTCAAAATATGGACAGAAGGTGAAGAAAATCTAAAACAATTTTTACTCATTGATCAACACTTTTCACCCAAGAATCAACCTAGAAATGGAATACTCAAACACACACGTCAACTTCCTAGACACCACAGTAAACATCATGGATGATAAGCTTCACACCTCAATATACAGGAAACCCACTGACAGATGCAACTACCTCCACAGTTCCATCTTTCACTCCCAACACACTAAAAGGACCATCATACAAAGTCAGGCCATCAGGTACCCCCAAATATGTTCAGACCCGGATGACAGAAATAAACATCTTGGGACACTAGCAGACTCCTTCCATAGGAAAGGTTACAAGGACAAAACTGTCAACACCACCATAAACACAACCTTGAAAACCCGAAGAGAAAATCTACTCCCAATAAAAAGAGAAAAAAACAAACAACCGTGTACTTCTAGTAACCACATACCACCCAGCACTAGAAGGAATAAGAAAAATAATAAAAGATTTACAACCCATCATAACATGGGCAGCACAGTGGCTAAATGGTTAGCACTTCTGCCTGGCAGTACTAGGGTCGTTGGTTTGAATCCCAGCCATGGCACCTCCTGTCTGGAGTTTGCTTGTTCTCCCTGTGCCTGCGTGGGTTTCCTCCGGGTACTCCCGTTTCCTCCCACACTCCAAAGACATGCTGGTAGGTTAATTGGTTCCTGTCTAAATTGGCCCTAATATGTGTATGTATGAATGTAAGCTATGAATGTAAGCTAGGGACCTTAGATTGTGCACCCCTTGAGGGTTAGGGACTGATGTGACTGTACAATATATATATGTAAAGCGCTGCGTAAATTGATGGCGCTATATAAGTACCTAAAATAAAATAATAAAAAATAAAATAACAGAGGATGGAACTCTGAAAGAAATATTCCAGCAACCCCCAATACTGGCTTTCAGACAACCCCCCAACCTCAGACATAAACTAATGAGTAGGAAACTTTCTTCTGATTATTATGTCACAAATAATGAAAGCAAACCCTGCAATAAAAAACGCTGCAAACTATGTAACCAAATTAATCCATCAAAAAGTGTCAAACATATAAAAGGGACCTTAAGCATCACCGGATCATACAGCTGCACCCCCCCAGTAATGTTGCATACCTTATCTAGTGCAAAAAATGTAGCAAAGGATCTTACATTGGTGGAAGGACAGATGTTGAGAACAAGCATGAATCTGCACAGACATACCATCCAGGAACATAAAGAAGATGAGTTCTGTACACCTGTGGGACACCATTTCTCACAACCAGACCACACTAGGGAATTTCAAAACTATTTAGGAAAGGAAGACTTTTGAACTAAGAATTATATTTCTATTTGATACAAAAGATAACGGCCTTAATTTAGACATGCATGGGTTTTCTCACTCATTATTCAACAGTTTCACGACCCCCCCCCCCCCCACCCAATATATGCTTTTGCTCTGTCTTATCTCTAGTCTAATCCTAGTTTTATAACCATTGTGTACATTTATTTGTGTGTGTGTTTTTTTTTTCCCCTCAAAGATTGTTTCTTTTTAACATTCTGCTAAAACTTTGTGAAGTAGTACTGCATGGACCTTGAGGAAGGGGACATACCTCGAAATCTTGTCCTAAAAATGGTATGTTAGTACAAATTAAAAAAAAGTATCACAGACTGGGTACAATTGTTTCGAACGTACCATAAAAGTTGATCAAGGACACAGGATGAAGTAATTTAACTGCACTAGATCATACTGCTGCTTTTAGGAAACTGTAAACTGGCAAACAAAGATGTAAGGACAGCTCAGTATAATTCCTCTTACTCCCATTCTGCCTTCTTGTGACTAGCAATAGTGGGAGTGGGTCATAAGAACAGTGGGGAGTGACCTGTGTCACTTAATGCACTCCAAAAAAGGATTTTACAGTAAGTCAAAAATCCTGTTTTTCAAATTGTATATTAAACGACACAAGATGAAGCAATTCAGGTATCTTGAGATGTCCAAAAGGAGTCCAGCTGACTCCAGGGTGAAATCCAAAAGTCCTTTGCTAAGGAGTGATAGGCAAGCAATCTCTCAAAAATAAGTCAGAGACTTGGCCCTTGATGATACTAAAGGTCAACAGGTGATCCAAACCAGTCTAGAGAAATGACAGGATGCATTCAATGGAGCACTTCCTCGCCTTAAACCAAGAGAAAAATGTGTCCCAAGTGCAATGGTAAAGTTTGTGAGTAGATTTTCTAGTTTCAAGAACTTAGGGATACCCGAATACAACAGGCCTTTTTCCCTTCAAAAGCCAGGCATTTAAAAGCCAGTGACCAAGAAGCAGAGTGGTAAATCAATTCCTGGGACAGAAGATCCAGATGATCTGAGAGGACCCACAGGAAGTTGCCAGGAGACTGAAAAGGTCTGAGTACTATGTCCACCTGGGCAAGTTAGTGCATTGAAAATGACCAAAATGCCCTATCTCTATATCCTATGGAGCAGGAAAAGGAGGAGTTTCAGAGGAGGAAAGGCATAGATAAAATTGAACTTTATAGTGACTCAAGCATCCTCTGCGATGGCTAGATGTTTTTGGGACCAGGAGGCAAACCTGCTCAGTTTGTTGTTGAACCTGGAAGCTAGGATATCAATATCTGGTATCCCACACTGTAACGGGCTCTGAAATACATCAAGGTGAAGAAACCATGCTTCAAAGTCCAGATGATGACAACTGAAAAAGTCTGCCTAACAGTTTTAGTGGAATGTGAATAGTAGACAGAGTTAGAACATGTAGTTCCACCTATGTCAGAATCACAATTGCTTCTCTTTGAGCCTCAAGACTTACAGTTCCTCCCTGATAGTTGATCTAAGCCATTGCCTTGACATTACTGACTGAATCCTCGTCAGATGACTTTGCAGACAAGAGGTCCAGTGTTGAAGGGATAAATGAATTGCTCTGAGCTCCAGAATATTAGTTGAAAAACAAGCTTCCTCCAGTGGCTAAATCCCCCTGTACTGAGACAGTATCCTCCCTAGCTCAACAGGCTGGCCTCTGCCATGAGAACTTTCCAAAACAATGGGAGAAAGAATTTCACTGATTCCAGTGCTGGATTTGTGACCCACAATGCCAGGCCAAGTCAGCAGGACCAATGGAACTATGCTGGACCAATGGAACTATGCAATAAACATCATACCAAATACTCTTTAACAATATGCTAAAACAAAATAAATAAATACATAGATAAATTCACCCTCACTGTTGCAACAATGCAAATAAATGGCCATCAAGATGAAACTTCCTCAATATAAAATGCAAAGAAATTCCAAAAGAAAAAGAGGGTAGTCTATATGGTGTGAAACACAACCAAAAACCCCTGCATTGAATGCGTTGCTCTAAATAATTAACAAATAATGACCACTGCTGCCACTTTAAATGAATTGACTATACATAAATAAACATAAATAATCCAGTGGCGCTATGACCAACTATTAAGTGAAACACTTGGAGGTCTTGGAGGTCTTCAGGGAAAGGGTTCCACCAGATTGGTGCACCACACCCCTGGACCTGTTTAACACGCTCCAGCTGCTTATGTGTTGCACATAGATACCTAGGCAGGCACCTTCAGCCAAGTCCAGTGCTAAAAGACATAATACAGACTGGCTTTGCCTCTTCTTCTCAATGGAGCCTAGGTACAGCTGACATGGTAATGCCTAGGATCAGCCGATGTAGTGCTACAATAGAAAGCTGCAAAGTAAGTCCCTTCTGGCTTGGAAGCTAATGAAAAAAAACATGCTAAAAGAAAATAGACTCTTGATACAACGTGAGAAAAGGGTTTCCTTCTTTCAAAGGAAAGAAGACGTTCGATCTCTGGGGACCTTTGTTTGCCAGTGTACAATCTCTTAAAGGCAGCAGCATAATGCAATGTACATGGATTACTTCAAACTGTGTTCCTTAAGAATAGTTTTTACTATACATACATTTTAGCATTGCATGTTAGATTGCTGAAGGTCAAGTGCACATGGCTTTCATAACAATGGTGGTAGATCTCTAATTGGTTTCTTTCTTTAGGTAAAAGAGCTACATGTCTATAGTAACTTTAGCACCTAACACAAATAGAATATAATCAATATGATAGAAAGGGTAACCCCTCCTGACAAGCATGTCCAGGTTATCATTCTGTAGTAAAGCTCTTAAGAAACCCGTATTTGCTAGAAGACCAAAAGACTGGAGCATTGCTCACAAATATCGGATGTGTATGGCAACTTAATGCAAAAATAATACTTAAAAAGTCAGAGATGAAGCTATCTGCTCCCTCTTCCCCATCCCCGTTAAATATTTGGAGCACGGTGATATAAACTTACCAAACCCCATAAGGATGAAGGATCCTACAAGCATAATGATAGTCTGTAGAGTATCTGTGTAGATGACAGCTGCCAAACCACCTGAAAGAGAGAGAGTGTCAGTCCATCAGATGTTAGCCAGTCACTGGAAAATAACTATACAACGGTACCCACTATAAAGGAAAGACGGATATTTATGACAAGAATAGCATACAACTGACATTAAATTGATACTAAAGGCTTATTTTTTTCATTAAAAAAGAGGTAATACTTACCTGCGCTATACAACAATATTGCACAGAAAAATCACTTGTCTCTTCTTGTGGTAGTCCCCTGCCGACACTGTCAGCTTCTCACTCCTCCTGGTGCCTCCTGCAGCAAGCTTTGTGCTAAGGAAACACTGTGTGTACATAATCCTAACCAGGTTGTGTGCGTCCATAAACACACACAACGCTGGTAAGTCACATCCCCATTCCTTCATGACTGGTGTTTGACTGATAGCAGCAAGAGTGTATGGTTCCACTGCTCTCAGTTTCTCCTGTGAAAACCAGAAGCAAGGGGTGCTAGAGCCAGAGACAGTGCTGGAGCAGTGACATGGAACCAGGAGGCGTAAGATAAGTAGGGTGTTTTTAACCTAAATGTAGAACATGCATTAGGGCAGTGATGGCGAAACTTTTAGAGAGTGCCCAAGCTGCAACCCAAAACCCCTTATTTTATCGCAAAGTACCAACACTGCAAATAAACCTGAATACTGAGGTTTTAGTGTAGAAAAAACAACCCATACATTAACATCTTTTGTCTTCAAAGGAAAAACACAATAACAGAGCTTCCACTGACCACCAGCACAAGGGGGCAAAGTTCCACTGACCACCAAGACAAGGGGGCAAAGTTCCACTGACCACCAGCACAAGGGGCAAAGTTCCACTGACCACCAGCACAAGGGTGCAAAGTTCCACTGACAAGCAGCACAAGGGGGAAAAGTTCCACTGACCACCGGAACAAGGGGGAATAGCTCCACTGACCACCAGCACAAGGGGGCAAAGTTCCACTGACCACTAGCACAATGGGGAATAGCGCCACTGACCACCAGCACAATGGGGCAAAGTTCCACTGACCACTAGCACAAGGGGGCAAAGTTCCACTGACCACCATCATAAGGGGGCAAAGTTCCACTGACCACCAGGACAAGGGGGCAAAGTTCCACTGACCACCAGCACAAGGGGGAAAAGTTCCACTGACCACCAGCACAATGGGGGAAAAGTTCCACTGACCACCAGCACAAGCGGAAAAGTTCCACTGACCACCAGAACAAGGGGGAAAAGTTCCACTGACCACCAGCAGAAGTTAAAATCTTGTGTTAATAAAAATGAATGTATTAAAACTTACAACCAGTCCAATATATATATCCCTTGGCAGCGCACTGACTGACCACGTGAAAGCTTGGACAAGTTGTGGTTAATGAGTCGTTGCCCGTGGCGTCATCACCTGGTGCCGCTACTCCTTTCGAAGCATGCACGTTGGCCCCTATGTGCGCCGCTATCTGATACTCGGCTGTTAGGACGATGCTAGGGCGACTTGGTTCGCGTGCCGATAGAGAGGGCTCTGTGTGCCCACTGCAACATGCATGCCATAGGTTTGCCACCACTGCATTAGGGTAAAAGACATTTACACTTTACAACCACTTTAAAGTGTATTTACACGTTTGCAGTCTAATTTGAGAAAACTTCACTATATGTTTATGTTCTGATTAATATATTATACCTAAAGAATTTTGTTAAAGGCTAACTCTGCCTTTTAGACCATGTTACATTTTACAACATGGCAAACAGACTTGAAAATGAAGGGAAAGGTGTTAAATATTAGTGATTTTAACGTGCTGGACATTACATGGAGTTTTCAAACTGCACTTACAAGCAGGATCAGAGGTATGCTAGAAGTACTGAAATGAATTTCTCTAAAAAAGTTAATAAACTGCACAGCCAGAGCAAGATTATATTCTAAACATGGAGCTGACAAATGGGGAAGGTTTGTCTGATGTTCAGGTGGGAGAAAATTTGGGTTCTAGTGATCACCAATGTCTTTGGTTTGATATTCAAACAACAAAAAAAAAAGTTTTTGCTGAGGGAGGTGAATTCCTTAAAAATTAATTAAAACGTTGGAATAAAACTGCAGGAGTCGATGGGCTTTGTTAAAGTCTACCATTCTGGAGACAACTAGATTATATGTCAGACAAATTAGTAAGTGGAAACTTATTATGTTATACTACAGAATTAAAAAGGATAGTAAAGGAGGAAAAATGAGAACAGACGTTCGTCCGCTGTCCTGTCTCCCCTCCACCCAGTGGCACCTGCCATGGCACTCCCCCGGGCCCACAGATGGACAAGAATGCCCAAGAGATTGACGCTTGTAAACACACCTAAACACTTGTAAAAGCGTTAGACACTTAGACAAGCGTCACAGGTTTTTTTTTTTGCCAAAACACTGCTGCCAAAAGAAGGAGCATTTTTAAAACGTCCTGTGTGCATGAGGCCCTAACCTTCAGATCTGTATTCATTATGTCCCATCTCTGAGGAATATAAAGAGGTCTTATCAGCAGAATTAATAGGATTTGCAAAATAAAGCTAGAAGATTTTGTTTACTCCTAGGTGGATTAGGACATTGGTCTGTTATGGAGTGCTTAGAACATTTGCATCCAGGATACACAACTTTCACAAAGCTGTAGTAAGCATTCAGCACACAGTACATTCGACCTTTGCGCATTTTTAAGGCTCTATTATTTTATGATAGGTTAATGTGATAATGTGTTATGTGTGATATGTGCTCAACTCACGTATACTTTCTTCTTATCACTTATTGCCACAGGTTGAAGCCTGAGTGAACATTTGTTTTAAGTCCCTAGATACAGATTTTTTTTTTTTTGTTTTATGTTTTATAGTTTAAAAGCTGTACTTTAATCCCAGCAGGAAAATCACATATGCAATAACCCACTTCTAGAAAATAACAGGAGATTTGTGCATGGCTGAGACTATAAACAGATACATAAAATGGTAGTATTTGCTGTCATACATGGAAAGTCCATTGATGGCTGTAGTTTATATGGAAGGATTAAGATAACTAGAATACACATATATAATGCATTCAAATTAATCCTTGCTAAATATTAAGGACTAACAAATAAAGCCTTGTCAGATAGGACAATTTTAAACCAAATATGACTGTATCCAGTAAAACTGCTGCAATGTCGAAGATATGATGCCAATCCCCCCATCTATTTTGCTTTTTAAAAATATGCCTGCCGCAAAGGACAGTCTGCTTTGTTCACAGCATCCAGCACATTGATAAATACTGACCCACCACTTCATCTAAATATCAGAACCCAATTCTAGAGTCTTATATTATGTACTGTATGTAAAAGCATATACAGTATTTTACACTGCAATAAAAAATGCACATATGCACTTGACCATTGGCCAAATGATTTCTTTTCTTTTCCTCCAGACGTAAAGAGTGCCCCCTTGTGCTCTGTGATGACCTCAGGGTGAATAGCTCTACATCGAGTTCACTATATAAACCACTGATGTATTTATACATGTTGATCATATCCCCCTTTAATCTCCTCTTCTCAAGAGAGAATAAATTCAGTTCCTTTAATCTTTCCTCATAGCTGAGCTCCTCCATGCCTCTTATCAGTTTGGTTGCCCTTCTTTGTACTTTCTCCAGTTCCCCACTGTTCTTTTTGTGAATTGGTGCCCAAAACTGAACTGCATATTCCAGATGAGGTGTTACAAATGATTTGTACAGGGGTAATATGATATCTCTCCCTCTGGAGTCTATACCTCTTTTAATACAAGAGAGGATTTTGCTCACTTTAGAAACCGCAGCTTGGCATTATCAAGCTTGTGATCTACCAGAACCCAGATCCTTCTCCACCATTGATTCCCCCAGTTGTACTCCCCCCAGTATGTATGATGCATGCATATTCTTAGCCCCCAAGTGTATAACCTTACATTTATCAACATTAAACCTCATTTGCCACATAGTTGCCCAATTAAACAGTACATTGAGGTCGGCTTGTAAGTTGAAGACATCCTGTAAGGACATTATTCCACTGCACAGCTTGGTGTCATCTGCAGAGACTGAAATGGGATTTTTAATCACAGACCCTATATTGTTTATAAATATATTAAAAAGTAAGGGTTCCAACACTGAACCTTGGGGTACACCACTGACAACCCTAGACCATTCAGAGCATGAATCATTAACGACTACTCTTTGAATATGATCTTTCAGCCAGTTTTCTATCCATTTACATACGGATTTTTCCAAGCCCATAGACTTTACTTTACATATTAGCCATGTGTGGGGAACTGTGTCAAACACTTTTTCAAAATAAAAGTATACCACGTCCACAGCCATCGCTCTGTCCAAGGTTTTGCACACCTCCTCATAAAAAGAAATCAGATTTAGAGCAGGGGTCTCCAAACTTTCTAAACTAAGGGCCAATTTACTGTCCTTCAGACTTTGAAGGGGCCGAATTGTGGCCAGTGAGAGTAGAAAATGCCCAGGGTCTATAGGAGTAAACATTGCCCCATCATTGGTGTCAGTGGGAGGAATAGTGCACTATCATTGCTGTCAGTGAACGGAATAGTACCCTATCGTTGGTATCAGTGGGAGAAATCGTGTCATCATTGGTGTCAGTGGGAGGAATAATGCCCTGTTGTTTGTGTCTGTGGGAGGAATAGTGCTCCATTGTTGGTATCAGTGGGAAAAAATGTGCCCTTTCGTTGGTGTCAGTGGGAGGAATAGTGCCCCATCATTGGTGTGAGTGGGAAGAATAGTGCCCTGCCAATAATTTCAGTGGGAGGAACAGTGCCCCAGTGTTGGTGTCAGTGGGTGGAGAGCCCAAGGGCAGGATAAAGGCAAGCAAATGGCCACATCCGGCCCCTGGGCCGCAGTTTGGAGACCACTGATTTAGAGGATGTTGTCCATTATCAGTGGGGGCTGTATAATTCCTAAAACTGGGATTGCAATGGGATATGAAATATGTTGAACCCTTTAAGATACCTCTGTTCTAGTTGGAGAATGGGGTCAAATATCTGTTCTCAAGAATTTTTCTGATAACCCCATAAATGTGGATGTGTCTCTATTTTATTTGCGTAAGCCGACAAAGATATATACATTTCTAATGGAAGATGGCAAAATGCTGGAAAATACTGGCAAAAGGAATGCAAATATTGTATGCACAAGCATGTGTTAAAAAAAGCTTCTCTTGGGAGGGGAGTAAATTCATTTTGCATACTTTTTTTTATTCCTATGATCATTGCGCAAAAGTAATTAAATAAACATTTTTAAAAAATGCTTTTCCTTTTCAGTAAGGTTAATATGATATGTTGCATATGACTATCCAGCCAAGTGGATCTCTAAATCTCTCACATCATTCATGCTATCTTTCGCTGCTATACTGGAAAAGACCTGTTTACAGAGCTCAATAGCTCAAACTGCAATTTATGCACACACCGTTCACCCTCCCTGCCTGTCTTTCTAGACTTTAAATCAGAGAGAAGTCTGAGGGTAGAAAGCCTCTGTTGTACTGCTCTTTATAAAACCCAGACTGCACCGCCATACACAACTGTTTCTTTGTAAAACCAAGGTTGTGTGTAAATAGGGAAAAATATAAAACATCAGTTCAAAATTTATCAACTTTAAAATAATATTGACCAAGTACATCACAATTTCCCTTTATAAGGCAAAAAAAGACCCACCTGTCACAGTGTACAAAGCAGTGATAAGTAGGAGCATTACAATGGCTATGTAGATATTGATTTTCATGGCTTGTTGGATAAAAATGCCTCCTGAAAACATATCTGCCTGAAAGGAAAACAAGGTAAGAATAAAAATCCAGCTTCCCATAATCCCTCAAACAGCTGAGATACTCCTGGCACATGCAATATGTTTTTATTGCTTACATCTGGTTTTCTGTAAAAAAGCTTTTTGATAGTTTGTCTAGGAATGAAGATCCTATTTCTGTAGACATACTCACTCAAATAATACAAGCTGGGTGGTTTTTGGCTTTGGCCAAAACAGAGTAGGCCAACTCAAGTTCTGATGTGCAGATCTTGTGTCTATCCCACAGACAGGGTGTTGAAAAACTGCATTGTGCTAGTTTTTATAACAGTTTGACTCTGTGCACCATAAAGGAAATCTGTACTGAGAGAAACACCATATGTAGTGGTGGTGGACATTGTCATTAAAGGGCCCCTGTGCAGGATGACTTTTTGGGGTCCAAATTCAACTACTGATTTGATAGATAAAAGGTAGAGAATATCCTTTTTGAGACCCTGAACTCTCAAACAGTGAACACCACCCTGATCTCAGCAGCTGCCTAGCCCACATCTCGAATAAATCCCAGAGGGCTCTTGCAGCTGCAGTTTGTACAAATGGTATGGCCACCCTTGGTGTGTAGGCTGCCATGGCTTACCTGTAATTCTGCCAAGCTGCTATGCTGATCCAATGGTTTCAATAGCTTCTGGGTTACTGCCTTGGAGCAGTAATTTTTACTTCACTTGCTGCATGCTTGTTTCAGCAGCTCAGAAAGAACGAAAGCCAGAAACAGGCAGGCACGTAGCATTTTCTGAAGAAAGTCACAAATGGCAGCTTCCATAGTTCTTTCAGTACAGAGAACCACTTTTAGTCCATTAAATAATGAACTAGAAGGATTATACTAGCACATCAGCCATTAGTATGGACTACCCAGAGGGGAAATAGCAAGAAATGCCAAGCTTCAGCTGATTGTTTGCCTACAGAAATTTAGTAGGACAATCTTTGTAATTGACTAATGTTGCTAGAAAAACTAGAAAAAGAGCTAGAATTTTTCAGCAAATTTCCTTTACACAGCCATTTCACATACACTCACTGGCCACTTTATTAGGTACACGTCGCTAGTGCCAAGAATATATCCCCACATTACACCACCACCACCAGCCTGAACTGTCGATACAAGGCAGGATGGAAGTATGCTTTCATGTTGTTTATGCCAGAAACAATTGAGTACTGTCCGTGATACTTTTTTATTTGCACTAACATACAATTTTGAGGACAAGCTTTCGGGGTATGTCCCCTTCTTCAAAGTCCAAACCGTACTATTACAAATCACAAAGTTTAAGCAGAATGTTAGAAGGGATTGAGAAAAAAAAAAAAAAAAAAAGGGCTACAGATAAGATACATCAAGAGCGAGGGGGGGAGGGGGGGGGATACTACACTCACACAGAGGGGGTCAAGCTTCAGCTAATAGATAGTCATAAAGCTGTCGGATAATGGTTGAGGAATCCCATGTCCAAGTTAAGGCCGTTATCTTTTGTTTATGCCAAATTCTGACCCTACCATTTGAATGTCTCAGGAACCAAAAACAAAAGCACACCAACCTCAAAGTTGCGCTCAAAGTTATTAAATTTAGATATATACTCATAAAAGTAGTAATATTAAAAGCATATAAAATACAACATCAGCGCACTGGGATAGCAGACATGTGCGGGTCCCATCGAGAGGGGAGACTCTCAGGATGAAGCTGACGTGTTAGCTCTGAGGAAGAAGGGATCACCCTTCGAAACGCGTCAGCTTCATCCTGAGAGTCTCCCCTCTCGATGGGACCCACATGTGTCTGCTATCCCAGTGTGCTGATGTTGGATTTTATATGCTTTTAATATTGCTACTTTTGTGAGTATATATCTCAATTTAATAAATTTACCCTTTACTCGCTTATGTAATGCACAAAGTTGGTGTGCTTTTGTTACAGCTGTTATTGGGCTTCCCCAGCCTTGTGTTAGAGCTGCACAACCTTTGATCGGCCACCGGATGAACTTTCATATATGGTTCAACCCGCTGAATTCTGATCTGGGCCTCTGAGCACAGGAGGTTTTGTTTCTGTTTCCACCTGTCTCAGGAACCAGTCTGCCCATTCTCCTCTAACATCAAGAAGACATTTTTGTCCACACAACTGTGGATCACTGGATACGTTCTCATTTTCGGACCATTTTCTCTAAGCCCTAGACATGGTTGTGCATGAAAATCCCAGTAGGTCAGCAGTTTTTGCAATACTCAGACAGCCTGTCTGGCACCAACAGCCATGCTACGTTCAAAGTCAATGAAATCACCTTTCTTCCCCACTCTGATGCTCGGTTTGAACTTCGGTAATGCAGGCCATAGATCGGCCGGAAAAAAAATCGTCCAATTTTCGCAACGTTAACGGGTTAATTGGTCGGCCATTTTTCTGGATTTTGTCAGATTTATTTTATTGGTAATGTTGGAAAAAATCGTCCGATTTTGCCAATCGGCCGATTTTCACGGCAATGATGGACAAATCGGCCGATCTTTTTACAGATAAAAAATCTGCGCATGAGCCGTGACCTGCAAGAAAAAGAAAAAGAAGAAAAAAAAAAAAAAGAAAAAAAAGAAGAAGAAGAAAAAGAAGAAGAGGAAGAAGAAGAAGAAAAAGAAGTAGAATAGAAAGAAGAAGAAGAGGAAGAAGAAGAAAAAAAAAAAAGAAGAAGAAGAAAAAGGAGAAAGAAAAAGGAAAAGAAGAAGAAGAGAAAGAAAGAAGAAGAGGAAGGAGAAAAAGAAGAGAAAGAAGAAGAAGAAGAGAAGAAGAAGAGAAGAGAAGAAGAAAAGAAGAAGAAGAAGAGAAAGAAGAAGAAGAAGAGAAAGAAGAAGAGAAGAAGAAAGAAGAAGAGGAAGAAGAAGAGAAGAGAAAGAAGAAGAAGAGAAAGAAGAGAAGAGAAAGAAGAGAAAGAAGAGAAGAGAAAGAAGAAGAATTCCAGTCTGCTATTATATTTGACATTAAAAAGTATTGCGGTTGCAACAATGTATCTATTTGTATCCAAAAAAGACATCTGTATCCGAAATGGATACAAATAGATACAATGTTGCAACCGCAATACTTTTTAATGTCAAATATAATAGCGGGGCTCTCTGCAGGGACAGAAGTAATTAAATGTCGGCTGTAGACGAGAAGAAAATCGGCCGATTTTTTTTACTCTTGGTGGTAATGTCGGCCTATTGAACGACCGATTTTTCTTTTTTTGTTAAAAAACCGGCCGTCTATGGCCTGCATAAGTCTTCACCACGTCTACATGTCTAAATGCATTGAGTTGCTGCAATGTGATTGGCTGACTATCAATTTGTGTTACTAAGCAATTGAACAGGTGTACCTAATAAAGTGGTCTGGTGAGTGTATTTTCCCAAATCACACATCATATAAGGCAAGAATCAATGAATGGAAAACCAAATAATTGCACAGACTGTTACCAGAACTGAAGCTGAAGGGAAATCTTCCAATGCAGACATCTGTTCCAGAGACATCTGTCCAAGAGGGGCTTCCTCTCACTTTTTGACAATTTCTCTCAATTTCTAGCGAGTCTCTGGGTCTCTGGGGACAGCAATAAAGGAAACTCTCCCCAATGGGACACAGACATCAAAAAAAGGTTACAGGGGTTTTAACCCTCCCCCACTCTATCCAAAACAAAATAAAGTTTTGGGAAAAGATACAATTAAAGCTAATATACCAATCATTCTTATTCATTTTCCTTTACATGTAAATTATTATCTGCCATCATCACATGTGAGTTCAAGCATCCAGTTTCTATATAATGGAGGAGTTTTATGTATTTTGTCCTGCACCATTCATCCAAGCTGATACTCTCATATCTATGAGATATTCACAGACACTGCCAGGCTATTGGGGTAAACACTGATTGGACAAGTTGGTAAACCTTGTCAGATTGATGGTATTTTCTCCTGATAAGTCAGTGTCAGGTTGGGTGTGCATACCTTTTTCCATCACGTAGGCTAAACACAAACCCTTGGCTAAGCTAAGTACTTCTGCTTCAAAATGTTTCTGCAAACACAAGTAGCTTAGTAATATTGGATCATGCCTGTATATCTAATTGACATTTTTTCTCTATGGCCACCTTAAAATATAGTACTGACTGTAGTTTTGTAGATATTTTTTTCAATTCAAAAAGTGCATGGACGGATCACCATATAAAGAGATTAGGAATCTCTTTTCAGACAAGTAATTATTTACAGTCTAAATAGGATGTTTACTAATGTTCCAGCCCAAATTTGCATCCATTGTCTTGTCAGTAGTAGATAACAAATAACACAACAATGACTGATTGCCTTCTTTATTCTAAAATAAAGATCTAGATCAAGAAAGCATTGCATGTTAACTAAGAACATTGTATTGTAACTCACAGAGATCTTGGTGAACACATAGAGCAGCAGTGAAAGTACAGAGAGGTAGACCCGTATCCGATTTCCACCAAAACGTTTCCTCAGGTACTCTGGCATCGTTACCACCTAGGGGAAAAACATAAGGGTGACCACAGGCTCATTGATCCAAAGTTAGACATTTCTGCACAAAGCCTATATACAGTGTGATTATTTGGAATTGTATTCAGAATTAAATCCTACAAGGACGTGTAACTACCCAAATGCAACTAAAAAATGACATCAATTGTTTAGGGTAATACAGTAGTAAATGATTCTTATGTGGTTTCATTCATTGCAACAATTATTCAAACCCCTAAAGAAACCATTACTCAGAATCAAAAGAGTTTGAAAAACATTCATTTGGTTGTTTAATGTTTATTGTCCAAAAGATGGATCATTTATTGCATTTATGGTTTTGTCATGTTAAATCACCAGCCTAAAGTGGTTATAAAAGTTAGGTCTTTTATTTCTTTAAAATACCAAACATGTCATACTTACCTGCTCCATGCAATAGATCCTCCTCTTCTCGGGTCACGGCGCTCTGGGCTCCTCCTCCCCTGCTCAGTGCAAGCACGTACGAGTGACCCCAGAGCAAGCAGCTTGCTTTGGAGCACTTGTGCATGCTCGCTCCTGAGCCCCACTTTCTGCATGTAGATGGGGCACAAAGAACATGGTTTAGTCCCACCACCGCTCCATCCTCACTGTCTTTGAATGTCCGTGGATCTGTGTTTGGACAGGGAAGCGGAAGTCTAATGGAAATACCCTAGTGTAGTCGGGATCCGTTTCCGTTACAAATAGTAACTTCTGAAATTTCTCAGGAAAGAAATGTGTGCATAGATAACAGCATTTCAATCCTAAGGGAACATCTTGTACATAAAATAAACCAGTTAGTAGGCAAAAGCAAAAGTTAGTTAACTATTAACCCTTTCAAGTGGTGTATTAAGATGGAACTGATCCTTTGTGCATCCAGTACCAGCACTGGCCTTGCTGCCCTCTAAGGGTTGTGGGGAAAATCGCAGACAATAACTGTAAAAACAAAGGAAAAGAGGACGCACCAGCCTTGTGCATTACATAGAGTGGTAGCTTTATTAATCCAAAGTAAATTATACTCACAAACACTGTGGTAACAAAAGCGTGTCAGATACAAAGTGACCAGTACACAGGATCAGCTCTCAAACTCATGAGGACCCTCTTATAACTGACACATTTCAAGGAGAGGTCTCCTCTTCCTCAGAGCAGAGTGTGGCTCTGAGGAAGAGGAGACCGCTCCTTGAAATGTGTCAGTTTTAAGAGAGTCCTCACGAGTTTGGGAGCGGATCCTGTGTACTGGTCACTTTGTATCCAACACGCTTTTGTTACCACTGTGTTTGTGAGTATAATTTACTTTGGATTAATAAAGCTACCACCCTAGGTAATGTACAAGGCTGGTGCGTCCTCTTTTCCTTTGTTTTTACAGTTATTGTCTGAGATTTTCCCCACAACCCTTAGAGGGCAGCAAGGCCAGTGCTGGTACTGGATGCACAAAGGATCAGTTCCATCTTAATACACCACTTGAAAGGGTTAATAGTTAACTAACGTTTGCTTTGTGCCTACTAACTGGTTTATTTTATGTACAAGATGTTCCCTTAGGATTGAAATGCTGTTATCTATGCACACATTTCTTTCCTGAGAAATTTCAGAAGTTACTATTTGTAACGGAAACGGACCCCGACTACACTAGGGTATTTTCATTAGACTTCCGCTTCCCTGTCCGAACACAGATCCACAGACACCACCGCTGACTATATGAGACTAGACGAGACCAGTCTTGTATTAAACCAGGAAATAGACTGCTTTATTTTAACACAGACACAAGATATAAACATTCAAGGGAACAACCCACCTCCCTGCATATGGACACAGGGCAGAGCAAACCAAATCTAGCAACCAGAGACACATCAGCAGACACCCCCCACCAAGCCAATACACAAACACATACATCCCATAATAGTTTGCTCCCAAGCAAGACACACTATAGAACAATGGGATGCATCATGTGGCAGTACACAATGAACAACCCCCACAGCCCACCTATACATGTCTACACAATATCAGGACATTCCACCCTGTACCCCTAACAGGCACAGGGTGACTTACACATAGGAGGGATATGGGGAGCTGAGACAGAGGTCTCCTCACCCCTCCAAAGTGAGCTGTGTTCCATGGGCCCCCCACCCAAAGTCAATCCTGTCACACTATTCTGTTTCATTTGTGTTGTAACTAGCCATAGAGTAGTTTACTGAAATCTTTTTCCAGTATTCTGATTGGTGCTTTATGGAAACCGCCTGAAATATGCAGTGTTATCATTTATTACTTAAGGCCTGATCAATAATAAATAAGTTGAATTTTGCATCACACATCTTTTTGTCTGACTTGCATTGTTCCCAAAGTACTTTGAACTGTATATTTGTACGGAGGAGAGGGCCAGCCTAAATTGATATTCCTAACACCACTCTTGAGCGCAGGGGACTGATATATGTCTGCTACATATGTGAATGACAACAGCATGAGCCAATGTCTCCCACTGCTGTGTCCTAGTCAATGAGGAGAGAGAGACCCAGGAGAACCTCAGCGTGCACATCACTGGATCAGACACGGGCTCAAATGAGTATTAGAGGGGGCTGTGGGGGGCACTACATGCTAAGGTTTTTTTGACCTTCATGCATAGAATTTTCAGCCATTACCTTCAGCCTTTACAACCATTTTAAAAACAAAATAACACTAAAAAATTATACAGCAAGTTGCAATATCGACAGACACAATAGGGTTGATTTACTAAAGGCAAATAGTCTGTTCACTTTTGAAGGGAAGTTGCAAAGATGAAGCTCTGCTGACTTCATCCAATCACATACAGTTGCAATAAAAAGTATGTGAACCCCTTGGGATTACGTGGAGTTTTGCATGAATTGGGCATAAAATGTGCTCTGAACGTCATCTAAGTCACAACAACAGAAGAACACAGTCTGCTGAATATAATACTACACAAACATTAGATTTTGCCATGGTTTAAATGCACATAACATGTAAACATTCACGGTGCAGGGAGGAAAAAGTATGTGAACCTTTGGACTTAATAACTGGTTGGCCCTCCTTTGGCAGCAATAACCTCAACCAAATGTTTCCTGTAGTTGCAGATCAGACCTGCACAATGATCTGGAGTAATTTTGGACCACTCCTCTTCACAAAACTGTTTCAGTGTAGCAATATTCTTGGGATGTCTGGTGTGAATCGCTCTCTTAAGGTCATGCCACAGCATTTCAATCGGGTTGAGGTCAGGACTCTGACTGGGCCACTTCAGAAGGCGTATTCTGTGCTGTTGCAGCCATTGTTTTGTTGAATTACTTGTATGCTTTGGGTCATTGTCTTGTTGCATCACCCATCCTCTGCGGAGCTTCAGTTGGCGGACAGATGGTCGTACGTTTTCCTGCAAAATGTCTTGATAAACTCTGGAATTCATTTTCCCATCAATGACAACAATCCGTCCAGGCCCTGAGGCAGCAAAGCAGCCCCAAACCATGATGCTCCCTCCGCCATGTTTTACAGTGGGGATGAGGTTTTGATGTTGGTGTGCTGTGCCTTTTTTTCTCTCCACACATAGTGTTGTGTGTTCTTCCCAAACAACTCAATCTTGGTTTCATCTGTCCACAGTATATTTTGCCAGTAGTGCTGTGGAACAATTAGGTGCTCTTTTGCAAACTTCAAACGTGCTGCAATATTCTTTTTGGACAGCAATGGCTTCCTCCGTGGTGTCCTCCCATGTACTCCATTCTTGTTTAATGTTTTCCTTATTGTAGATGTGTCAACAAAAATGTTAGCATGTGCCAGAGATTTCTGTAGGTCTTTAGCTGACACTCTGGGATTCTTCCTTACCTCATGCAGCATTCTGCGCTGTGCTCTTGCAGTCATTTTTACAGGACGACCACGCCTAGGGAGAGTAGCAACAGTGCTAAACTTTCTCCATTTGTAGACAGTCTGTCTTACCGTGGACACATGAACAGCAAGGCTTTTGGAGATACTTTTGTAACCCTTTCCAGCTTCATGCAAGTCAACAATTCTTGATCGTAGGTCTTCTGAGAGCTGTTTTCTGCGAGGCATGGTTCACATCAGACAGTGCTTCTTGAAACCAGTAAACCCAAAACAGGTCTGTGTTTTTTTACCTCCCTAACGGTCTGCTTATTTCAGATTTTTGGTGCTGAAAGCGGTACCATTATTTTGCATGGAAATATGTCGTTTTTTTATTGTAGGCTGTCATTTTTAGGAATAACTCACTGAAATCTGTCCGAACAAGAGTCTATTAAACATCCCGGGTATGATAAAATTTGAAACACGAAATCATAAATTATAATTTAATAAATAATCATAAAAAATAATAATATAATAATAATACATTAAATTCAATAATATAATCAAACCAAAACACTGAAATTTGAAATAGAGCGCCAAGTTCGCACATTGCTGAGCAAAGTCGCAAAATCGTTTTCAGTGTCTGATGACGAATTTCCCCACGAATCATTATCACTCAATTCTGCAAGTGGTTCTGATTTACTATCGCTGTTCTCTAGCTGATCTAAACCCGCTTTTGACCTAAAGGGACACTTTTTGGACGCCATGGACTTTCCTCAGTTTCCAGGCAGAAAGAACAGACAAAATGCAGGCAGGGCACAGGACAAAGCACTAGGGACAAAATGTATGTGAAATGGGTTTGAAACAGCAATGTTTTACTATGTAAAATTTGTTTTGAAAAAAATGAAATTTTTTAAAATTTTCAAATTTCCCGCCGCCGGCAGCGGTGCCCGTACGTCCCGACATCACAGGGACCGGAGCACAGAAGCCAGATGCCGGCATCGGCCGGAGGAGATGGCCAGGGACGCTGCAGGGGACTCCCTATGCAGCGCCGCATGGTAAGCCCAAGTGTAGCTCGGGGTTACCGCTTTTGGCACTGACATTTTACCCCGAGCTACACTCGGGAATACCGCTAGGGAGGTTAAGGGCAGGACAGCTGTCAGCAACACATCCAATATCATCACACTGATTGGAGTCAAGGTTGGCTCACTCCTGGTTCCAATTAGCTCTGGGAGAAGTCATTAAGCTAGGGCCTCACATACTTTTTCCTCCCTGCACTGTGAATGTTTACATGTTATGTGCAATTAAACCATGGCAACATCTAATGTTTGTGTAGTATTATGTTCAGCAGACTGTGTTCTTCTATTGTTGTGACATAGATGACGTTCAGAGCACATTTTTATGCCCAATTCATGCAAAACTCCACGTAATCCCAAGGGGTTCACATACTTTTTCTTGCAACTGTATATTTAAGAGTATCCTTTCATCCAGATAGTGTGTTATTGACCAGATCACCAGGTGAAAACAAAGGGAAAAAATAAAGAAAAGAAAACTGATGCAGCGACCACATCCAGTGATTGCTAAGCTGCAATATATTACATTTTTGGCTTTGGGTTTAGATACCACTTTAACATAGTGAGTGATCAAATTTAGAACATAAACTTCTGCTTCATCTGCAAAGTTAAATACTTCTATTTTTGAATAAACATATTAACTGGTGGGTGGCAAAAAGGATGGAAGAGGAAATAAATACATATAGTTTGCTTTAGAATGGGGAAAGGTCAGGGGAGAAAAATGGCAAATAGTCCAAATACATGAGATACACAATACACATTTAGCATTATGGAAAGTCTAATAAAATAAAGTCTCTCACCCCAGCCTTTACATAGATAGGAACAAATATCCAGCCAAGAAATACCACTACAATCAGTGCCTGCAAAATAACACAAAATCATGTTAATAATCTGTACTCATACAGGTAGTGACTTTTCTTTCTGTTAAAGGAAATTAAAATATACAGGTTGCCATTTCCTGACACATGGAAATGTGGTTTTAAATAAATTATGTAACCATAAACAAAATGTCAACATTAATTCAAATGTATATAACTACGTACAGTATATGCAAACCCTTTTCCACCCATTAAACCCATTCAGTTTAACATAGAAATGAAAGGCAAAAACATTTGTGTGTGTATATATATATATATATATATATATATATATATATTCACACACACACACACACACTGTATTGCCAAAATTATTGGGACACCCCTCCAAATCATTAGATTCAGGTGTTCCAATCACCTTTATGGCCACAGGATGGATGTGTCTGGGTTTGGCAGTGGCCAAGAGAATGGTACTTGCCTGACTGCATTGTGCCAAGTGAAAAGTTTGGTGGAGGGGGGATTACAATGTTTTCCAGGGCTTGAGCTTGGCCCCTTAGTTCCAATGAAGTGAACTACTTAAGGCATCAGCATACCAAGACATTTTGGACAATTTCATGCTCCCAACTTTGTGGGAACAGTTTGGGGATGGCCCCTTCCTGTTCCAACATGACTGTGCACCAGTGCACAAAGCAAGGTCCATAAAGACATGGATGAGCGAGTTTGGGGTGGAGGAACTTGACTGACCTGCACAGAGTCCTGACCTCAACCTTTGGGATAAATTAGAGCGGAGACTGCAAGCCAGGCCTTCTTGTCTGACATCAGTGTCTGACCTCACAAATGCGCTTTTGGAAGAATGGTCAAACATTCCCATAGACACACTCCTAAACCTTGTGGACAGCCTTCCCAGAAGAGTTGAAGCTGTTATAGCTGCAAAGGGTGGGCCAACTCAATATTGAACCCTACGGACTAAGACTGGGATGCATTAAAGTTCATGTGTGTGTAAAGGCAGGTGTCCCCATACTTTAGGCAATATAGTGTATATATATATATATATATATATATATATATATATATATACACATATATTCATTTTTTTAAAATAAGTGATCACATAATCTCTGTTCTCAACTACATAAGGGGCTTAGAGAGGTGGGGTGAAGAAACAGCAGGACACTAATCTTCCCAGTGAAAGGAAGGAGAGATTTCAGCAGAAGTCTGGCCATTAAAGGACAGGCAAACTGTTCTTCCAGCATAGCCAGAAAACTGTTAACAATGAGGAGGCTATGCTCTCATGCCTAGCTTGGTCAGTTTGAACTAGGAAAGCAAAGGGACTAGCAGGAACGTCAGGTGTTTCACACAAAGGAAGCAATACAAAGAGAAAAGGATATTTTTTAACACAAGTACATGGCACAACAGACACATATCAGGAATATGAAATGTTGGTGCAACATGTTCTTTCAAGTATTGACATGTTCCTAAAAAGCAGTAAATGCTCTTTAAAACAAGCCCTCACTTACCTCTATACCTGCAGGCACTGTAGGCAATGTTCAGAGAAGAAGCATTGAAGTTGTCAAATTGTTCTCTCAGCTGCTCAGGCTGTCCTGCTTCCCTTTCTGTGAAGTAACCTGCCAGCCTTCCAGTCTTTCAGTTTTTAATGTAAACTCAAACCAGATACTCTGGAAGGGGAAAGCAGGTGAACCTTGATGATCAATTGCTCCACAATGCCAGCAGTCACAAAGCTTTGTTTTAAAGTTCATTTACCACCTGAAAAGAATATGTAAATACTGGAATGTCCATAACTCAGGTACATGCTCACGTTAAGGATTGAATGCTTTAAGTGCTAAAATGTCTTTTGTGTGGTTTTAATTCTGCAGTTTTTGTGAGTTTCTTCTTTTTTCAGGAGGTGGGGTAAAAAGAAAGGAGCAAATTGCATAAATAATGAATAAATGCAATTTATGAAAATTGTTGTCAAAAACAAATATTCATATTTTCAGTCTTCATGTCTAGAACCATATTATTTTATTGGCTGTGTAGGGCTTGCTCACTGTATTACCATTTTAACCGTGTACTATCCCCATAAACATTCCCCAAAACATAAAGCCTTTTAGTTACTGCCCTTTACATATACAGTTGTGTTCAAAATAATAGCAGTCAGACATCACTAACCTGATCAATCACTGTTTGGTAGAAATGATATTTCTACATGGCAAATAATTTACTAGCAGGTGTAGTAGAGTAATAGAAATCCAACAGTCATGACATGCATGCTGCTGATTCTGTGTAATTGAATCACTAATTGAAAGGGGCATGTTCAAAATAATAGCAGTGTGGAGTTCTATTAGTGAGGTCATTCATTCTTTGAAAAACAGGTGGCAATTATTGCCCTTATTTGAGGAAGGAAGACAGCAAATGTTGTACATGCTGGTTACAGTGCATTTCTCTCTGAAATTCTGAGGAAAATGGGTCGTTCCAGACATTGTTCAGAAGAACAGCGTACCTAGATTAAAAAGTTGCTTGGAGAGGGGAAAACATATAAAGAAGTGCAGAAAAATGATAGGCTGCTCAGCTAAAATGATCGCAAATGCTTTAAAATGGCAACCAAAACCTGAAAGATGTGGAAGAAAGCGAAAAACTACCATTCGAATGGATAGAAGAATAGCTAAAATGGCAAGGACTCAACCAACAATCAGCTCCAGGAAGATCAAAGAAGTTACCTGTGAGTACTGTTACAATTAGAAGACGCCTATGTGAAGCCAAGCTATCTGCAAGAAGCCCCCGCAAAGTCCCACTGTTGAAAAAAAGACGTGCTGAAGAGGTTACAATTTGCCAAAGAGCACATTGACTGGCCTAAAGAGAAATGGTGCAACATTTTGTGGACTGATGAAAGTAAGATTGTTCTTTTTGGGTCTAGTGGCCGAAGACAGTTTGTCAGACGACCCCCAAACACTGAATTCAAGCCACAGTACACTGTGAAGACAGTGAAGCATGGTTGCGCAAACACATGATATGGGGATGTTTCTCATACTACGGTGTTGGGCCTATTTATCGCATACCAGGGATCATGGATCAGTTTGAATACATCAGAATACTTGAAGAGGTCATGCTGCCCTATGCTGAAGAGGAAATGCCCTTGAAATGGGTGTTCCAACAAGACAACGACCCCAAACACACCAGTAAACGTGCAACATCTTGGTTCCAGACCAACAAGATTGACGTTATGGAGTAGCCAGCCCAATCCCCGAATCTTAATCCAATAGAAAACTTGTGGGGTGACATCAAAAATGCAGTTTCTGAGGCAAAACCAAGAAATAGAGAAGAACTGTGGAATGTAGTCCAATCATCCTGGGCTGGAATACCTGTTCACAGGGGCCAGAAGTTGGTTGACTCCATGCAACACAGATGTACAGCAGTTCTCAGAAACAGTGCTTATACAACTAAATATTCATTAAGTGATTCAAAGGAAAGCAAAATCTTCAAACATTTTTCAGTTTATATAGTGAATGTTTGAGTTTGTAAAGAAGAATACAAACACTGCTATTTTTTTTTGAACAGTCTAATATTCACTTTTCTTCAATTTTATTTAGAGGAACAACACAAATTTGATATATTTTTCTTCATGTTTTGATTTGGAATAGAATGTGTAGTGTTCCCAATGCATTTGTGTGTATGGTAATAAAAGCTATTAGAAGGATTTTGAGCTTTATTCACTTTTTTTACCACACTGCTATTATTTTGAACACAACTATACATGACAGCTTTGTAAATTCTACTCTCTGTGTTTTTAAGACTCTTCTTGCTCCAATATGTATTCCATTAGGATCTCCTCTTTTTACACCCTGTTACATCCCCTGTTCTGTCTCTCCAATCTAAGCATTGAAAGTGTGATCTCTGTAATTTACAGTTTTGATGAGATAGAGATAACTCCAATCTTATTTGAATAAAACAGGCAGTGACTCGATCCAGACGACACCTTGTAGAACTTGTGAACTTTATTTCATAAACTGAGAGGATCTCACAACAATGAAAATCGGATAGCTCAAAGGATTATAATGTGGTCTACTCTATGAGACATGAGGCTTGAAGATGATGTGCATTACTGGGAACATGAAAAAGGGGTGGAGCTATCTATACAGCATGAACTAAACCAAAGGAAGGTGAGGAGCAGAGACAAAATACAAAGAACACTTAAAGGCATATGACAGTCATGTGAAACATGACATCCCCAAAATAGATTCTTAGCCCTCACACTCTTACAGTTCCCTGAATCTATCTCCAGGATAAGCCAGCAGACCAGTGAAAAGAAGAAAAAGAAACATTTACTCAAACTGATTAATTTCAGGATTTAGCAGTTGTTGGGACAGTACACTGATTCTGCAGACTATTTGCAACCTTTTTTAAAGATGATATTCAATCTCCGTTAATGTTATGGTACAGTTTGGATATCACTTTGAGTAAAACTTCTTAAAGCGGTAGTAAACTTTGACCTTTTTAAAACAAAAAAAACCTGCAAGACAATGGCATAATGTGCCAGTATCCATTGCATACCAGCACATTATGTGAAACGTACCTTAAAATGAAGCCCTCCAGCAGCATGCTGTCACTGCTGACAGAGTTTCCATCTTGACCCGGTCTTTTTTCCAGGTTCGTGGGCTTCGGCAGCTTGAATAGTCGAGCCGCGATGATGGCGCTCCGGTGCATGCATGGAGTCACTTTCAATGGCACACAGCTCTGAAGGAACAGCATGGGCATGCCGTTCCCTCAAAGCACATGTGCCGGTGCTTTACAAAGGTAAATATTTCTTAAACGGTGCACATTTAGGAGATATTTACAATACCTACAGGTAAGCCTTATTATAGGCCATATTATAGGCTTCCCTGTAGGTACAAGTACAAAAACTGACTTTACTACCACTTTAATTCATATGCAGTGTGGGATTTTCTTGTATCCTCATAGTATATAAAGCCAACACAAACGTATGTACCCACACTATACTTAATGTGTGATTGGTGTGTTGTTGTGTGGAATAAATATGAATGTATTAC